CTCTCCTCATAAGACTTATTCTCCAGACCCCTCACCATCTTTGTCGCCCTTCTCTGGACCCGCTCCAGCACCTCAATGTCTTTTTTATGGTAGGGGGCCCAAAACTGGACACAGCACTCAAGGTGAGGCCTCACCAGTGCCGAGTACAGGGGGACAATCACTTATCGGGCCCTACTTGCCACGCTGTTTCTGACACAGGCCAGGATGCTGTTGGCCTTCTTGGCCACCTGGGCACACTGCTGGCTCATGTTCAGCCCACAGGCCACCAACACCCCCAGGTCCTTTTCTGCCCGGCAGCTCCAGCCACTCTGCCCCCAGCCTGTAGCGCTGCCTGGGGTTGTTGTGAAATCTGCAGGGTTTAGCAGCTAAGGGGCTCGCTTTCCACCTCCTCGCTGCCAAGCACAGATCCAACAGCTCTACGTGCCGTGCCGAGCCTTCGGAAGCTGCCAACTGCTTGGTCACACCACTGTCATTCCAAAGCCCCCCAAAATCAACCTGCACGTGAAGTTGTGCAGTTCAGCCTTTGGAGGTGAGGGACTCAAGGCTGTCTCCATGTCCTGACATAGAGGAGAAGCCCCTTCACTCCTTGCAGCTTGTGGGATATGTGCTTTAGGCATCCAAGTGCCATCCCATCCCAAGTGTTTTGGTGGCCCACCTGCCAAGGGCAATGTGCCACACCCAGGATGGCTCTGGGGGCATCCACTGACCTTTAGAAATGCTGATGTTCAGAGCAACATCGTAGGCCTCTGCGTGGATTTGGATATTTTCAATGTGAACAATCCCTAGGATGTTTTCTGCATCCGAAACCTGAGGTGGGAAGAAACAAACACCGCTCAGACCATTCTCCTGAATTTTTTTGGCAGACAACATACGAGACCTTGTCTCTGCTGGGTGCTCCCACCATGGCCTCCCTTGCTTGGTTTGTGACTCCCAAGCTTTCCCAACCTGTTTCATGGGCTCACCCAACAGGATTCTGCTGCAGTAAGAAACCCTGTCAGCCCAACTCTGCTCCCCTACAGCAGGGAATGCTGCTGCTAAAGCACCTTGGGAGGCATGGTGATGTGAAAACAACCACAAGAAGCATGAGGTGTCCCAGAGCGAGTGGCACTGACAACCAACCCTCTCTCCTTGCATCACCCAGCATCCTCTAAGCCATGGGGAACAAAATCCTAGGGTGAGAGTTTGTTGTTCTACATTAAGAGCCCCAGACAGACTCCAGGATGGGTTCAGGGAGCACACCAAAGCTTGGACAGCCTAAAAATAGCATTCAACCAGCAAAAGGGTTGTTGTCTGGGCTTATGACACAGCATTTGGTTATTGGGGGTGAGGTGGATGCTCAGAGATGTGTTGTGGTGAACCCAGCTTGAGGCAGCAGAAGTTGGGGTCATAGCACCCTTATGTCCACCTCTTGACTCCACAGCCTACTTGCCCCATGAAGCTCAGATACAGGAGCACCCTCCTTTCCATCATCCTTCAGTAAGAGCCCCTTGCTGACCCCTAGCAAGGCAGGTAGAAAGAATTCTCATGAAGTTCATCCCTTTGCAGGACTCCCAGCCCTAAGAGGACAGGGCTGAGCACAGACTGTCCCCCTCACCTCTAGCCGGATCATCTTCTTAATGTTGAGAGCCCTCGTGGCCTTGAAATACAGATGGACCTCAAACTCCGCGCGGGGACCAACGATGCCCTCATCTTGGGACACGGAGAAGTCCTCGCCGAGGTTTTCCAGCCCACTGAGCCGCCAGGCCATGGGCAGCGGGGTGCGGTTCTGCAGGACCAGGGTCTTGCTGTCCCTCCTGCAGAGGTGGGAGGACACTCAGCCCTGGCTGCTCGATGGCCATGTCCCTGGGGACAGCCCTATCCATGTGGTAACCCCACGGTTACATGTTTTCTCTGTGTCACAGGTCTCAGAGGTGAGGTCCTGGGCTGCTAAAAGTCTATTTGACAAAATGGGGGATAAGGAGGAAGGTCTCCTGAACCAGCAGGTAAGATGGAAATGTTGTTCATTCTGGAGAAAAGGAGGCTGAGGGGAGACCTTATCAACGCCTACAAGTATCTCAAGGGAGGGTTGAAGGAGGAGGGAGCCAGACTCTTTTCAGTGGTTCCCAGTGAGAGGACGAGGGGCAACGGGCACAAGTTGGAACATAAGAGGTTCCACTCAAATATGAGGAGAAACTTCTTCACGGTGAGGGTGACAGAGCCCTGGAACAGGCTGCCCAGGGAGGTGGTGGAATCGCCATCCCTGGAGGTGTTTAAAAGCTGGGCAGATGTGGGTTAGTGGTGGTTTGGGCAGTGTTAGGCTGATAACCATCAACTTTGATGATCTGAAAGGTCTCTTCCAACCCAGACAACTCTATGAAATGCAAGGGGATTCCATAGAGAGCTTGTGGCTGCCATGGGACATCCCAGCCAACATGGAAAGGTGAGCAAGTGACTGGGAAATGCTGGGAGAAAGTGGGATGTTAGCCCAGCCTCCAACTTGAGTGGCCACCCAGCCAGCAAGAGAAGCTGAAGGGGACCTTGCCGACAGCTCTCGTCCCTGGCAGAGCCACCACGGGATGACTGACCTGTGCAGAAGCAGCCTGTCGAAATGCACTTGCTTGGGGCTGACCCCCAGCTCCACCTGCACCCCCTGGCAGCAGAGGGGGAAAACCACTGGCTCCGGGTTCTCCTTGATGCAGCAGATGAGGTTGTCCTCCACAAGGCCGGCTGAAGTGGGGTAGGCCCAAATGCTCAGCTCCTGGCCCCATCCCCACCAAAAGAAACATGGAAGAGCATTCAATGAACACGGGGAGCGGCTCCTGGGCACTTCCACTCATGCCTGTCCCACCTGCCCGTCTCCTACCTGCTTCTCGTTAGGTTTCAGCGTCATGGTGGGAGGGTCCAAAAAGAACGTCTCTGCTTTGAGGTCGTGCTCGAAGTAGAAATTCACCTCTGCCTGCAAGGGGGTGATGTTGAGGATGGTGATCTTCTCGCCATTGCTGGGATAGTGCTGCGCCTTGTACCTGTCCACAAAAAGAGGAAAAGGCTGCAGAGGAGACCCCGGGACCGTTGTCTTTGTCACACGTGGAAGAAAGCGTTGGAAGACCGTGGTCTACCAAGCAGGCTAAGAAAAAGGATAGCTTTCAGGGGCACGTTGCATGGTGGGTGTGCTCATCCTGGCATCACTTTGATGTCTGCCTCTATTCCTGGTGCCTCCATCTCCGAAGCCTGATGATGTACAGGCCGCTTAAACAAACAAAAAAAAATAATCTAAATTTAAAGGTGCTTGGAAAAATAAAAGTACGTCAGGCACATACGGGTTCATCCTCCTTCTTTGCTGGGTTTCCTTCCCTGCAGGGCATAAAGAAATGCTTTTGAAAAGAGGTTTTAAAAATAGTTTAGCTTATCTCTTTCAAAAAAAGTCATGAGATTGCCTCGTCTTTCATGGGTTAGCTCTAAGTCTCAGGGAAGGTGACAGAGAGGATTAATTCCTGAGAGGAATGCTAAATTTAACAAGCGTCCCTGCTTTCATGTGTGGAACAGAATTTGGAGTTAAAGGGTTAAAAAAGCAAACAGAAACCCAAGACCATTCATCAGCCTGGCTAAAGATCCCCTTTTGGTTTTAAAGCTATTTTGATTTGACAGCTTGGGTTGTCAAAATACCACCGGCTCTCCAGAGCTCCCACGAAGACAAGAACTTAATTTCTAATATTAAAAAAATAGAAAAATAAAAAGCGATGTTCAAAACATAAATATGCCAGCGGTTACAATGACAAGTTTTTTTTTCAGGCAGACTTTATATAGCTGTGAGGATCAGCACAATGCAATTCCCATTTTTATTCCTCTGCAGGTTCCCCCCCCAACACGTTGGCAGGTCAGATCGTGAAGTCTTACCAACGGTACAGATTAACGAATGGTTTATGAAACCACCAGCAGAATAATTGCTCGCTCCGTCTGGCTGTAGAGCTCAAAGCCCTTCAAAAAAAGTTCATAGGTAGTGAAGCTGAGATATGGAGCGGGGACACGAGTTGCCCAAAGTCACCTTCAGGCTGGAAGCAGCATGTAGCTCCGGCTACCAAGACACCCATCGGGTAGGAAGACCATCTCCATCACTCCCCACCTCCTCCAAGACTCCTGTGCCTGTTTTCTACTCCACACATCCGTGGTCCTTCGACCCCATCTACCTGCCAGGTCTCTGCCGGGCCTGCCCTGAATTGTGCCACTGGGACAACGTGTCTCCAAGTGTGTCCATGAAAGCACAAAGCCCTGGAGATCCCATCCCAACATCTCACTCCATGGAGGCAGTGCATCAGGATGCTCGCTTGGGGTGGGAAGCACGTACCAGTCTCTTGACTTCCCACACAGCAGTGGTCCAAAGTGGAATACACCTGTGTTCATGACATACTGCTTGAAGATGATGTCATCCTCTCCCTTGCTCTTCCTCCGGTGAGGAAACACCAACCTGGGGGAGAGAAAACGACACCAAGCTGGGTGGCAGTGTTGATCTGCTGGAGGGTAGAGAGGCTCTGCAGAGAGATCTCGACAGGCTGGATCGATGGGCCGAGACCAACGGGATGAGGTTCAACAAGGCCAAGTGCCAGGTCCTGCACTTGGGTCCCACCAACCCCCTGCAGCGCTACAGGCTGGGGGCAGAGTGGCTGGAGAGCTGCTGGGCAGAAAAGGACCTGGGGGTGTTGGTCGACAGTCGGCTGAACATGACCCAGCAGTGTGCCCAGGTGGCCAAGAAGGCCAACAGCATCCTGGCCTGTATCAGGAACAGCGTGGCAAGTAGAGCCCGAGAGGTGATTGTCCCCTTGTACTCGGCACTGGTGAGGCCTCACCTTGAGTGCTGTGTCCAGTTTTGGGCCCCCTACCATAAAAAAGACATTGAGGTGCTGGAGCGGGTCCAGAGAAGGGTGACAAAGATGGTGAGGGGCCTGAAGAATAAGTCTTATGAGGAGAGGCTGAGGGAGCTGGGGGTGTTCAGCCTGGAGAAGGGGAGGCTGAGGGGAGACCTTATTGCTCTCTACAACTACCTGAAAGGAGGGTGTAGAGAGGTGGGGGTCGGTCTCTTCTCCCAAGGAACTGGCAACAGGACAAGAGGAAATGGCCTCAAGTTGCACCAGGGGAAGTTCAGGTTGGATATTAGGAAACATTTCTTCACTGAAAGGGTTACCAAGCATTGGAATGGGCTGCCCAGGGAGGTGGTTGAGGCCCCATCCCTGGAGGTGTTCAAAAGACGGGTTGATGCAGTGCTGGGAGGTATGGTTTAGTGATGATGCTCCTTGTTTGTTGTGTGGGTGTCTATTTTTGTCAGTTAGGTTGACGGTTGGACAAGATGATCTTTAAGGTCCCTTCCAACCTAGAAGATTCTGTGATTCTGTGAAAACGGGGAATGAGGATGCTCTATGTAGAAAAACTGGTCATAAAGCCATAACTCTTACTGGTGGCTGAGGTATCAGCACAGGTTCCCCAGCTCCAAGCATGGGAAAGGCACTGGGCTGTTCAGGCAGCAGGCTCTGCCCAAGCCAGAAGGTCACAGGGGTACAAGGGACAGCCCTAGCTCCCAGTTCAGGGGGGAGGAGAGTAGGGGGCTCCTCTCATGGGCCAGCCTTACCGTGGGTCCTGGCTGATGGTGGGATACAGGCAGGTGCCCTTGCAGTGCAGCTGGTACAGACGCTTTGTCCCCAGGATCTCAAAGTGCAGCGTCTGCTCAAACTGGCCCAGCACCATGGAGCTGAAGAGGATCTTCAGTTCCACCTCGCCGCGGGCAGGCACTATCCACCGGCAGTTGCTCAGCCTGACAATTAAAGAGGAGACTTCAGACATTGCTAACGAGCAAATGAGACAAGAAGAAGGGTTGTGGATTCGCCACCCCATGGAGGCACCAGCAGAGGGTCCCTGAGGAGCTAGGGATGATGTTGGCCGTGAAGCAGAGGGATCTCCTCCTCCCTCTGAGCTCACCTGACGGATTTCTGTAGGGATGGGACTGTGTCTGCGCCACTTTGGTCCATCTCGGAGGGATGTGTGGGTGCTCCTGTGCTTGGCACTTGGAGAGTTCTCTTGCCCCGGCCCAAGCTACGCTTCTCCCTCCTAGACTCCCGGCTGCTTGGGGCTTTCTCCTTCCTCGACCGACCCCTGGTCGGGGTGAGCTGCTCCTCTGACACCTTCCCACCAAGGGAAGAGAAGAAAGGGAGAGAGAGGTGAGACCTGCCCCGAGACAGCCCCATGCTGGAAAGAAAGATGTGGGTTAGCTAACAAACAGGAGAGAGAATAAATAAGCCACCACATCTGCCCATGGACTTGGTCTTATTTGACTTAGCTTTGCCTGTGACACCTCTCCTCACCCATGAGCCTCCCCTTTGAGGGAAGATGAGGGTTTTAAGGTGATGTTTTTCTCTTGTATTACAGAATCATGGAATGTTCGAGCTGGAAGGACCCTCAAAGCCCATCCAGTGCCACCCCCTGCCCTGGGCAGGGACACCTCCCACCACACCAGGTTGCTCCAAGCCCCCTCCAACCTGCCCTTGAACCCCTCCAGGGATGGGGCAGCCACAGCTTCCCTGGCCAACCTGGGCCAGGCTCTCCCCACCCTCCCACCAAACAAGTTCTTCCCCACATCTCAGCTCCATCTCCCCTCTTTCCGTGTCAAACCCTCCCCCTCCTCCTCGGGCTCCCCTCCCTGATCCAGAGTCCCTCCCCAGCTTTCCTGGAGCCCCCCTTCTTTAGGGACTGAAAGGGGCTCCAAGGTCTCCCCGGAGCCTTCTCTTCTCCAGGCTGAACCCCCCGAACTCTCTCAGCCCCCCCTCCCAGCAGAGGGGCTCCAGCCCTCCCAGCATCTCTATGGAACCCTGTGTCTCAAGCAGAGCTCTCTTCTGGACAGACAGAAGGGGTGCCTGCAGACACAGGGCCCCATCATGTCTTCACTGCCCTTCCAGAGTCATCCTTTTCTATCCCACCTGTCCCCCATCGCCCCATCCAGCCCTGGCACCTTTGGTGTGGACACAATGGACACATCCAGCAGACTTTCCGTATCCTTCTTTTCCTCTTCTGCAGTGGCAGCTTCTGGCAAAATGAAGATGAAGTTCTTGAGGGCTTCTCCTGCTGCGGGGGCCACCCGCTTCTCTGGGTAGCGGATCACAGAGTAAAAAGCAGTAGGGGGAATGGGAGGCCCTGAAGGACCCAGACCCAGCTCATCCAGGATCTAAAGGATAAGAGAAAACCCTGTTTATAGAATCCTAGAATGGTTAGAGTTGCAAGGAACCTTAAAGGCCATCCAGTGCCACCCCCTGTCCTGGGCAGGGACACCTCCCACCACACCAGGTTGCTCCAAGCCCCCTCCAACCTGCCCTTGAACCCCTCCAGGGATGGGGCAGCCACAGCTTCTCTGGCCAACCTGGGCCAGGCTCTCACCACCCTCCCACCAAACAAGTTCTTCCCCACATCTCAGCTCCAGCTCCCCCTCTTTCTCCTCCTTCCCCCTCCTCCTGGGGCTCCCCTCCCTGATCCAGAGTCCCTCCCCAGCTTTCCTGGAGCCCCTTGAGGGACTGGAAGGGGCTCCAAGGTCTCCCTGAAGCCTTCTCTTCTCCAGGCTGAACCCCCCTGACTCTCTCAGCCTGGAGAGAGTCTGGAGTGACTCCTGTCACCTTCCTCCTCATACTCCTTCCCTGACAGCACTAAGCTTTGGGCAATGAGTTGGGTTTTTGTTTTTTTTTTAATTTTTATGAAGTACAGTGCTTTTTTGAGGGCCAGTGGGATGTGCAGGCTCCTGAGTAGTGCCAGGACCTTCAAGTGGGACGTAGAGAGAAATCTCTTCTCTGAGTGACTCAGCTGAAGGGAACAATGACCATGAACTGCCCTGGGACCATTTTCAATGATTTCCAGACCGGAAAATTCTCTGAACAGACAGGATGCTTGAACAGAGAGCACTCCCTGCTTCCACCCAGCTGAGGGATGGCGAGAACCTCCCCAGCCAGGTGGTTGCTCCAGAACATCACCAGTGGCCTGGACAGAGCTCTGTGCTATTGTCACCTGGTGGGAAACACACCAGGGCCCAGACTGTGACAAGGCTCAGTGTCTGAGCCTCACGGGGCCTTACCTGCTCTGCTGCTGGCATCTTGCCGCTCTCCAGGATCTTCTCAGTCACATCTTCTGGGCGCAGCACCTTGATGTCCAAGCAGGGCACCCTGACATCCTGGCCTCTGGATGACACTTCTGCTCCTTCCCCTTCCAGCTGAGATAACTTGGAGTCCTCAAGAGCCTTCAGTTTTTCCAGCCGCTCTTTTTCCACGCGCTCCTTCTCCAGCCTCTCAAGCCGCTCCTTCTCTCTGTCCTTTCGGCTCTTGCGGCTGGATAAATGCTGGCGCTGGTCTTCTGCTTGATGCTGCACCTCCTCCTGGTTCAGCAGGATACCCTGAGCCCTGTCCCAGGCTGACAAAATACGCACGATGTCCTTCTGCGATGCCTCGTAGACCTTAAACCTCAGGACCAAGTTCTTCTCGCTCTCACTCAGGTCCTCGGGTTTGGTTTTCTGCTCTTCTGGGTCTGGTGGCACAGCCGTCGCTGGGCAGGCATCCGTCGGGTGAACCTTGCTGCGCTTCTTCTTATCTGCCTTGTCACTTGCAATAGATTCTGTGTGGTCCTTTAGAGATCCCTTCTTGTCCACCCCTTCGGTGGCATCCGAGCGGTTGCTGGTGGACGCGTTGGTGTTGCTGGCGGATGTGTTTGTATTCTGGGCAGGAGGAGGAAAAAGCAATGAGCGTTTCAAAGCACCAACTCGAACGCTGTAGGACAGTGAGGATCTTTGCAATAGCACCCCGAGCCTCATCTGAGACCTGTGCTAGGTGCTCCACAGATCTCAGTTGAGCTCAACTGAAACCAAACTCCCCAGTGCCAGCCCAATGAGGAGTTCTGCAAACCAGCTGAGAAACAGAACAGCTTTCCCAACCCAAACAGGGAATTTAAGGCACCTCCATACTCCTGTGCAGTCCTCTGGGCTCGTTTCTGGCACGCTGAGCACCCCTGGGGCAGGATGCCTCTTTGGGAAGTCTGGGTGCTCACAAATACCCAAGTCCTGGTAGCATCTCCTGCCAGACACGCAGGAAAAGCCATCACATTGCAGATGGATCATGGCTTAGAGGGTACAAGTCACGTGCAGAGAGGGCAGAAAGGCTGGACTAAAACTATCTGGGGCTTCCCAGTGAATGTATGAAGTTACATGAACTCATGACTCAAAGGCAGCATGATTCTAGAAGAGCAGCTCTCCAACAAGCCCATGGGACAGCTCAAGGGAAAGTCCCCAGGGCTTTCACTCATCTCTAAAACTAAAACCACCCACCTGCCTGGCTCCAGGGTGGCTTTTCTTTGCCAAAGCATTGTCTTTTCCAAGCTCTTTCTTGCCCCGCTTAGACTTCTTCTTCAGCTCTTCCTCCTCCTTCAAGCGTTCGAGCTCCCGCTGGTGCTTTTCCTCAAGCTCTCGAGCCAGCCGCTCCATCTCCCTTCAGCAAGCCAAACAGAAAATATCCCCCAGTCACCACCAGATTAGCTGGGCTCACTGCAACCCCAGCTGGTCCTGCACTGCATTCATTGATCCTGAGGCCAGGCAGAACCGTTGGACCATCTCCGTGGACATCCCTCAACCCAGGGGAGGGTTGGGAGCACCCAAACTGAGTGAGGAAAAGTGAGAGGGGACCTCCAGGGCCAGCCAAATCTAAGCCTTGCTCTCAGAAGGTCTCAATTGTGCAACTTCTCTGATGAGGTCCACTCGGACACCTCCTGATCCATCATCTCTCCGCACTGATACCCAAAGCCCTCCCTTGATTTCCTACTGTAAACCAGCTTGCCAATCACTAATACCTACTTATTCCTGCACCAATACTTGTCTTTTCCAGCCCTTTTTCTCCCTGGGCCTAGCCTGTTCCTTAGAGAAAATGATATCAATCAGAAAGCAAAGGCTGCAATAACTCCCCTGCTGCAAAACAGGCTCTGAACGAGCAGGTGTCCTGCTGGAACCCAGCTGTGACCACGGGAAACTTGTGCTGTTCATGGTTTGAAGCAGCCCTAGTGATCTCCTCCCAGGGAAACGAGCTTCAGCCCGGGCTGAGAGCAGCCCAGAAACACGGGCTGGCTTTAAGCAGGTCCCCCTCCCAGTTTCACACTTAATCCCGTGGGTCCTCCTCAACTGGGCTTTGCTGGATCAGAGCTTCTCCCGGGCTCACCTGCTCCTGCAGCTGGAGATGAGTCTAAGAGACACCAGTTTTTATGGCTGGGGTCTCTCAGTGAGGAAAACCCTGAGAAATCAGCATTGTAAGGACTTCAGCTACGGTAGGATCGGTATCTAAGCCAAGCCAGCAGGTCTGCACCTCACCCCAACCCCCTTGGGTTGTCTGAAGGAAGGGTTGCCGAAGATGACAATCAACATAATTAACTTTAGAGACACTTGCAAGTGCAGCAGCACAAAGCCCAGCTCCCTCCAGCCGGGGTCCAAACCAGGGGACTCACTGCTAAAACAGAGAGAAGATGTTCTCATCATCTCACCAGAGGAAGCTCCTTCCTCCACTGGGAACCAGGGAGGTGGAACTGGCCATCCCTGTGTTGCTTGGAATAGACACTTTTGGCCTCTGCTCTGTAACCCCTCTAAGGGCAGGGAAACCTTTCAGGGACACAGTCCCGGGGAGCTGCCCACGGAAAGCTTACAGACCTCTTCTTCCACTCACGCTGGACTTCTCGTATATTGCTGTTAAGCTGAGTTTTCTGCTCCTCAGTGAGGGCATCATACTCGTCCTCATCCAACTCCCAGAGACGCGCTTTCTCCCTCCTGGCAGCTTCTTCCTGCTCCCGTTCTTCAGCACAGACCAGAGGAAGAAACCGTTAGTGACTGCAAGCGGAGCTCGCTGTTCTGGGTGAATCCCAGGGGAATCTGCTCTGTCCCCACCCAGGGAGACACTGGGGAGCCCGTATCCCTGCTCCAAAATGCAGATAATTCCCCCAAAACTCTTGGTCTTCAGCAAGTTCTCATGCTTCAGGTGCACCATGCTGGTGGACGGCCAGCTGGTGACTAGTTCTTGAGCCACAACAGCTTGTGCTTGTGCCCAAGTTTGAACCTTAGAGACTAAAGCAAGTCTTACAGCCTCAGCTCCGCTGTATTTTAAGCTCCTGTGAGCTGAACACTGGCTACATTGAAGCAGAAGGTGGAAGGATTAATAAAAACACTTCTTAAAAGCCCTGCTGGTAACCCAGATACGCACGGGTAAGGTTGGGGGCTTTGAGAGAGAAGGTTTGAGAGGTTACGGAGATGAAGAGTCTCACCTTGCTGCTCCTTCGCGGCTGCCTCCCTGGCTTTCAAAGCAGCATAATCCTGGGAGAGGTTCACAAAATAGATATAAGGCCGATTTCTGACAGCTTTGAGCAGGCAGAGGAGAGCAGATGCCATGTTACGTGCAAAGAGGGTCTCCAGGCCATCGAACACCACTCCCTGGTAGCAGTCACTCAACTGTGAGGAAAGTCGAAGAGGAAAAGTCAGCTATTGCCCACAGCGGGCTCTGAGCGAGTCAACAAACCCAAACGACAACCACCACCACCGGTTGCCGTTCCAAGAGCATCAACTCCCATCTCTCCCCGTGCTCTGCCAACTCGTGGCACCTGCAGCTTCACCCAAGGGTCCCTACAGGCATCCCAGGGCTGCTCCAACAGCAGGTTACCTGCAGCCTTTCGGAGAGGATGGCCACCAGCAGGTCTTCGGGCAGCACGCAGCTCATGAAGCCCATCTCTCCGGCCGTGCTGCCCGCGATGCTCAGCCATTGCTGCCCAGGCCCGAAGGGAAGGGGAGAGACCAGGTGACAAGTAGACGAGCCCTGCAAAGGAGAACGCCACAAGAAAAAGGCTTTGGAAACCCTGGAGCAATTCCAATTGCTGAGCTTGGAGCTGGAATCTTTCACTAGCAGGAGACTAGAACAAAACTGTAGGCCAGCAACACCAGGGGACAACCCTGGGGGTCACCCTCCCTTGGCCAGCAGAGACCCAAGCTTGCAAGCCCCCGGCACAGCATCCCACAGCTTTGCCCACCGCCTGCTGCACTTTGACAACAAACCATTGAGACCCAGTAGATGCTTTTCTGCAAGACCACGGGGTTCTCCTCTCACCTCGAGCCTCACCCAGCTGGTTCTCTGTGCTTTATACCCCCACATCAGGCTCTGGGTGACACGGAACCTCCTCCCTAAGCACCCCCTTCACTGCTCAAAGGTAACAGAAAGGTCCCAGGCATTAACTGGGAGTTAACATTTAGGAGAGAGGGGAGCCCTAGGAGGAGGGGGAAGGGTTTGACCCTGCAAGAGGGGAGACGGAGCTGAGATGTGGGGAAGAACTTGTTTGGTGGGAGGGTGGTGAGAGCCTGGCCCAGGTTGGCCAGAGAAGCTGTGGCTGCCCCATCCCTGGAGGGGTTCAAGGGCAGGTTGGAGGGGGGTTGGAGCAACATGGTGTGGTGGGAGGTGTCCCTGTCCAGGGCAGGGGGTGGGATCTGGATGGCCTTCAAGGTCCCTTCCAACCCAAACCATTCTAGGATTCTATGATTAACCAGTGTGGATCGTTCTTCACCTGGGAGCCTACTGATTCCGTTACGTGATGTTTCTGGGACTGTGACATGCGGCTGTCCGACTTCCTCTTGACCACTGTGGTGCTCCCCAAGCCTCGGGAGCTGAGGGACTGCAGGCTGCCTTTGTCCCCAGAGCTGGAATGGCTTGTTTCCGGGCTGTGCTTGCCCTCAGCGTTGAGCTGCAGGCTGAGGGAGACGTCTGTGTTTTGACCTGTGGAGGAGACAGAGGGCTCAGCGAGGGCTGGGGACATCCCCGTGCTTCGAGGAGCAAGCAGGGACCTTCCACCCCAGTAGGCACAACCCTGTGTCCTGGCAGGGACACGTGTCTCCTGCCTGCCTTCCAAAAGCAGGTCCTTCTCTGATTAGGATGATAAACCCCACCATCTGATACTGGGTTTTAAAGCCAGAGACATTTCAATGCAAAGCCCTGTGCCCCAACTGAGAGACAGGCCAGTGTGCAGGCAGGTGACACCATTTGCACAGTAGCTTCCCTGTGGATCAAGCCAGGTGCTCCAGGACAGAAACACAGACTGATATGGGGTTGGAAGGGACCTCTAGAGATCATCTAGTCCAACCCCTGCCAGAGCAGGGTTACCCAGAGCAGGTCCCACAGGAACGTGTCCAGGTGGGGTTTGAATGTCTCCAGAGAAGGAGACTCCACCACCTCCCTGGGCAGCCTCTGCCAGGGCTCTGCCACCCTCACAGCAAAGAACTTCCTCCTCATGTTTAGGTGGAACTTCTTACATTCAAGTTTGTCCCCATTTCCTCTTGTTCTATCCCTGGGCACCACTGAAAAAAGACCAGCCCCATCCTCCTGACACCCTCCCTTTAAGTATTTATAAGCATTGATCAGATCCCCCCTCAGCCTTCTCTTCTCCACGCTAAAAAGACCCAAGTCCCTCAGCCTCTCCTCAGAAGGAAGATGCTCCAGACCCCTCACCATCTCTGTAGCCCTCTGCTGTCCCCTCTCCAGCAGTTCCCTGTCCTTCTGGAACTGGGGAGCCCAGAACTGGTCCCAGTGCTCCAGATGGGGCCTCCCCAGGGCAGAGCAGAGGGGCAGGATGACCTCCCTCCACCTGTTGGTCACACTCTTCCTGATGCTCTCCAGGAGACCATTGGCCTTCTTGGCCACATTGCTGGCTCATGGTCATCCATTTGTCCACCAGGAGCATGGTTTCCATACTTTGCACCCATCCTGCCTTCTCACATGGAGCCTGTAACACACAGCCTTGCCCTGGAGCTAAATCCTCTGTGTGAGATAACCCCACCTGGGACCCAGGACCCTCCTCCCTCCAGTGGCTCCCATCCCAATCAGCTGAGCGATGCAAAACTTCCCCCTCGCCATCAGAGCCAGGGTCTGGCCTCCCCCTGCAGAGCCAGGTTCAAAGCTGAGCGACGCAAAACTTCCCCCTCACCACCAGAGCCAGGGTCTGGCCTCCCCCTGCAGAGCTCGGGGCACCAACTGCCAGATGAAGTTTCCTAAAAGTCTCTGGTCTCACATGGAAAATAGCACAACGTACACGAGCTGCGGGACCTGAGAGTGTGTGAAGGAAAAATCTCTGGAGAAAAGAGCTCATCTGTGGCGTGTCTCATCTGAAACTCTCCTGGGGAGGTTAGTCTTCCCTTCCTCTCATGTTTGTGAAGCCACACTCAAAGGCAGTCATGTCTAGTTCTTAATGAGCCACTTCAGAGGGCTTTTTTCCTTGTTAAAGTGGGCAGCAGCTCTGCCTGATGGCCATGAGGAGCAAACTGAATTCAGCTTTGAGGAAATACCAAAAACCCTGAGAAAGATAGAGGTGTGCTTCACCCCTCCTAGGAAAAGGAAGATGTGCTGAGAAGCCCAGGGGCAGCACAAGTGCCCCCGTCTGAGCCCTTAACATAGAGATTTATATTTTTTTTTTTAATAATCAGAGATGCTTTATGAAGTGGCTTTGCATTTCTACGTGCCGCCCCCGTGTTCTCCAAGAGACCCCAAAGGGCTGCAAAAAAACAACTCTGGAGCAAGAAGTGGATGGTCACGGTGGGTTTCTGAAGCTCTGTTCTGGGGGTCCAGCGTTTCTCCTTACCCGTGTCCTCCGCCTCCCTGCGGGTCTGCTCGATGGCAGCCCTGATGCACAGGTCCCGGGCGCGGAGCCCCGCCGAGCTGCTCCTCTCCGAGATGGCGTCTGTCACCACGGCGTCCATGGACAAGCAGGCAGCGCCGTAGTATTTGGAGAGGGCCACCGCTGCCGACGTCTTGCCTTGAGGGAGAGGAAGACCTGCTTGGGGACACTTGCACGGGAGGCATTTTCAGGGACAAGCTCCGCAAAGCCCCCAAAGAGGATTTCAAAATTTCAAGGATAGTCAGAGAGTAAAGTGCCGCTTTTAGGGGAAACCGCAAAGGAGGCAGCTCGAGCATGGTTAGAAGCATTGTCCTCTAGAGCCAGGTGGATCATCTCCACCTCATTTTCAGCTGAGGACGTTGTCCCTTGAGGTGACCTCAGTCCTGAGCCCAGGATGCTGTTTTGAGCCCTGTCCCACCACCATTCAGCCCACTGGCCAGCCTGTGCTGGACGGCGTTGCCTCAGGCAATGTCTGGACATGGTTTGGGGGTCAGTATGGGTGAGGGACTGCTCCCATGAGGCAACGGGGACACGGCCACCCTGTTTGGGTGAATGAGAGCCTAGCTGTATGGACACAAGATGAGCCAGTTACACCAGTTACACCACACTAGGTGAAGGCCTGGGACCATTTCATGTACCAGCAGAGCTGTGACATACCTTGCTCGACTTCACCTGGTCAACCAAGCGTCATGGTCCACCAGGATGTCTCTCTCCCACTTCTCCCCTACTCTGCAGCCCACGTACCTGTGAGGGGTGCCCCGTGGATGATGATGACGATCCCTCTGCGGTTTTGGGCCGCGCGTCCTTCCGCAGAAATATCGATGCCAAGGTGGCGGGCGATGGCCCTACGGACAGGGCTGTCCTCCAGCTCTCCCGTGACCTCCTTGCTGCTGGTGGTGCTTCGCCGACACTCTGCTGTGCAGGACCAGGTAGAAAAGTCAGCCTCCTGCCCGCCTGGGACCCTGATCATCCGCCCCATCCCCTCAGATCCCGGGAGAGGAGACTGTGCCAAAGCCAACGTCACACCCGAGGTCTCACCATGCCCTTCCTTTAGGCTTGTGCAGATCAAGGTCTGCCCTAGATGCTGGTGGAGATGTTTGTTCAGAATACAGTAAATGGGGTGGCAAAAAGAGGAAAGAATGAGCATCCAGAAACACCTAAAAGGACTGGGCCAAATCTTCTTCCATGAACTCTCAACATGGTCCTCATGGGAGTTTGGTCCCAAGTCCTACTAAGTTGGAGGGGGGACAGGCAGAACTGGACATTTTAGAGTCCCAAGGGAGAGGCTCCATTTGGGGACCAAGCAATTATCCAAAAGCAGAATGCTTTAGGATTACACCAGAGCTCTCAATTCACCAGCAAAGAGTTCCCAGCTCTGCTCTTAGGAGGTCAGAATCACATGGGGTTGGGAGGGACCTCTGGAGATCATCTCCTCCAACCCCCTGCCAAAGCAGGGCCACCCAGAGCAGGTCCCACAGGAACATGTCCAGGTGGGGTTTGAATGTCTCCAGAGAAGGAGACTCCACCACCTCCCTGGGCACCCTCTTCCGGGGCTCTGCCACCCTCACAGCAAAGAAGTTCGTCCTCACGTTGAGGTGGAACTTGTTATACTCAAGTTTGTGCCCATTTCCTCTTGTCCTGTCCCTGGGCACCACTGAAAAAAGACCAGCCCCATCCTCCTGACACCCTCCCTTTAAGTATTTATAAGCATTGATCAGATCCCCCCTCAGCCTTCTCTTCTCCAGACTCAAAAGACCCAAGTCCCTCAGCCTCTCCTCGGAAGGAAGATGCTCCAGGCCCCTCACCATCTTTGTAGCCTCTGCTGTCCCCTCTCCAGTCCTTCTGGAACTGGGGAGCCCAGAACTGGTCCCAGTGCTCTAGATGGGGCCTCCCCAGGGCAGAGCAGAGGGGCAGGATGACCTCTCTCCACCTGCTGCTCACACTCTTCCTGATGCCCCCCAGGATGCCATTGGCCTTCTTGGCCACAAGGGCACATTGCTGGCCAATAGGGCATCCTATTGTCCACCAGGGCTCCGAAAGCCACTTCAGATTGCAGCACCACGAAGGACAGACAGCAAAGTGTCCTGCCTTGGAGAGGGACCAGCACCCTCCTGATCCCAGCAGCTCCTGGGGGCAAAGGTGCTCATTTGGCAAATGTGGGGAAAGCCTCCCTTGCCTCTCCCTCAGATTCTTCTCAGGATCCTACAGACTTCATATGGAAGACCAGAATCGGGGCCTACAGGAGCGAAGATGGCACCAGGCTGCAGTGAAGGGATGGAGGTGACACCAAAGTCCTCCACTGGAGGTCCTTTTGCCACAATGGACATAAAATAGGCAAGGAGCTTAGGATTATTACCTGTCCTGCGTCTTTTCTCAACACCTTCCTCCTCTCCACATTCAGATTTAGAATCCACCTTGTTGGACTGGGTTTCATCAAAAATGGAGGAGGGAACGATTAAGCTGAGGGATGAGGCATCATGAACGATCTCGGCAGGTTGCTTTCCTCCTTGATCTAGCAGAAACTGGATATCTTCAAAGTTTGCTACGGAGGAAGGACAAGAGGAGTGAGGGAAGTGGCGAACGTGGCCAGGCAATCTGCTCGTTGCCGTTTGCCACTCTGCACGGCCACGTACAGAAGATGGAAAATTCCCCCAAAAAGAAGCCTGTCCAGGCTGTCTCCGCTCTCAGGTGGATTTTGAGCATTTGGTTTTGTTGCTGGGAAGGAGCAAATATGAAATAACTAGTGCTATGAGACCTGGTCCTACTGGCTGAAGAAAAACTCATCCAACCCCACTCTTTGTGGCTGAGGGACACAAGGGGACATCCCGAGTATTTCCCCAGTCCATGGTGGGCAGATATGAGTTTGCTTTGGCTGCACCCAGGGTTAGTAGAGGACGTGTGTTACAAGCCACAGACTTTTCACCCAGGAATTCCTCCACTAAGCTGGGAAATGGGCTTTCCATGGAGAATGAGGTCATGGAGAGCTCAGGGTAGGTGGGCTGGAGTCCCTGCTGAGTCCACACTCAGGACAGCCAATGCCAAACCCTCACCGCTGTCCTGGTCCCCAGTCTTGGGCTTTCCCTGCTCATTCTGCAGCCTCTTCTGGTCCTGATAGTACTCCAGCACCTCTGGGGGCAGCTTCTCACCCGGGGCACGTGGAGGCAGCAACAAGGTGTTGCGGCCATCATAGTCCTTCAGCATCCGCAGGATCTGTGCGCACAGGGAAGAGAAATCATATACGGGATGCATCTCTTGACCTTCATCATGTAGACTGGCTGAGGAGTCTGTTCATCCCCTCCGTTCCTTCCCTCCCAACAACTTGGACTATCCAAGCCCCTCCACAGCCTGCCAGAGCTGGCTGACTCCAAAACACCACCAGGCTCTGGCCTGGAGATACCTCCATCGCCCTGGCAGGAGCCTGGGAACACTGGAATGCTGTGAAGCTACGGGAGGATGCACACGGAGACCGGACCTTCCTTCTCACCTGCTCCTCAGCAAGGTACTGCTGATCGAACTCCAGGGAGTAAAACTCGATGGGGAACTCGCAGGGGTTCCTCACCACCACTGTCCCCTCCACCCCAGGGCTGTACGGCAGCAACGGTCCCAGCTCGAGCACTGAGGGGCTGAACTCCAGCTGTGGCTCCAGCCCCTGCCCAGAGACCTGCACCTGGAGGTCTTGGTTGCTCTGGCAAACGTTAATCTTCAGCTTGCTTCTGTAGGACTTCTGAAAAGAGAGAAGTGCAGAAAGCTTCTCCATGAAGTCCCAGGTGATGAGGCCTCAAATTCAACCCTCGCCCTAAGGTCAGGGGTGTTATCAGTACCTCTAAGGTGATGGAAAACAGGTCTTTACAGCAGGGGCTACAGCACCTGCATGCTGGCTCTGGGTAACTGGGATGAATCCCGGTGTGAAGTATAAATGGATATTGGGTATCATATGGCCCTAAAATGGTCTAAATGGTCTACGGACTAGGTTTTCATCTAATCATGAGGGAGCACAATGCTAATGAGAAAGGGGTTATAGAATAATACAATCATACGGGTTGGAAGGGACCTTTCAGATCATCGAGTCCAACTATGAACCCAACACTGAAAAACCCGCCACTAACCCACGTCCCTCAGCACCACATCTGCCCGGCTTTTAAATACCTCCAGGGATGGTCACTCCACCACTCCCCTGGGCAGTCTGTTCCAATGCTTGACAACCCTTTTGGTGAAGAAATTTTTCCCAATATCCATCATAAACCTCAAGTTATGTTGCCCACAGACAGTCCTGGCACCACTGCATCAGGCAAACATCAGCTACAGGAAAGAGGCAGAGGAGCTTTCACGGGCTAGAAACAAGTGTGCCCAGGTGGCCAAGAAAGCCGATGGCATTCTGGCTTGTATCAAAAATAGTGTGACCAGCAGAAGTAGGAAGGTGATTGTGCCCCTGTACTCAGCACTGGTGAGGCCACACCTGGAGTGTTGTGTCCAGTTTTGGGCACTTCAATACAAGAGAGATCTGGAGGTGCTGGAGCAAGTGCAGAGGAGGGCAACGAAGCTGGTGAGGGGGCTGGAAAACAAATCGTATGAGGAGCGGCTGAGGGAGTTGGGACTGTTTAGTGTGAGGAAGAGGAGGCTGAGGGGAGACCTCATCACTCTCTACAACTTCGTGAAAGGACACTGTAGAGAGGTTGGTGCTGGTCTCTTCTCACAGGTAATTAGTGACAGAACGAGAGGGAACGGCTTCAAGCTCCAACAGGGTAGGTTTAGATTGAACATTAGGAAGGAATTTTTCACCGAAAGAGTGGTCGGGCATTGGAACAGGCTGCCCAGGGAGGGGGTGGAGTCACCATCCCTGGCTGTGTTTAAGGGCCGTTTAGATGCGGTGTTGGGGGATATGGTGTAGGGGAGGACTTTGTAGAGTAGGGAAGATGGTTGGACTCGATGATCCCAAGGGTCTCTTCCAACCTGAATGATTCTATGATTCTATGATTCTAAGGGTCGTCATCTCTGCTCGGTCTTTGGCTCTAGTTAAAGTGAGACACAAGATCGTTACATCTCTACTAGCAATTAAAACCTCCCTGGGCCTGTTCTCAGGCATGGAAGCACTTTTGTCCCTACTGCCAGTTTCCAAGTCATGGTGACCACATGCAAACTGCCTTTGGGAATGCTCCATTTCTTAAGCTGACTCCCAGACCACCTGGGAATGTGCAGGCAGCATGGCCAGAGCCACAAGGACCGCTGGCTTTAGCCACAACAGGTGACTCTCGTGAGACCCCACCTGGAGTACTGTGTTCAGTTCTGGAGTCCTCAGCACAGGAAGGACATGGACCTGTTGGAGCAGGGCCAGAGGAGGCCACAGAGATGCTGGGAGGGCTGGAGCCCCTCTGCTGGGAGGGGGGCTGAAAGAGTTGGGGGGGTTCAGCCTGAAGAAGAGAAGGCTCCGGGGAGACCTTGGAGCCCCTTCCAGTCCCTCAAGGGGCTCCAGGAGAGATGGGGAGGGACTCTGGATGAGGGAGGGGAGCCCTGGGACAAGGGGGAAGGGTTGGACACTGAAAGAGAGGAGATGGAGATGAGATCTGGGGAGGAAATTCTTTGGTGTGAGGGTGATGAGAGCCTGGCCCAGGTTGGCCAGAGAAGCTGTGGCTGCCCCATCCCTGGAGGGGTTCAAGGGCAAGTTGGAGGGGGCTTGGAGCAACCTGGTGGTGTGGGAGGTGTCCCTGCCCAGGGCAGGGGGTGGCACTGGATGGTCTTTAAGGTCCCATCCAACCCAAACCATTCCATGACTGTCCTTGCCATGCCCAGAAAGGTGGCTGGTTTGTCTGCTGGTACCAGGAGGATTAGCCTAGATGGGCCCTTCCAGAGTTATTATCCCCACGAGTGTGGCAGCTGCTCTGCTCCAGGGCACTGCAGCCTGCAAATGCACCCCCACAAAGAGGAAGGTGAGGAGAAAGAGGCAGATTTCCCCCCACGTGCTACGAGGTTGCCCCACCGCAGTGCCCTGATGCTCTCAGTGCAAGGTCCCCATGGAGATTTCAAAGTGCCGCACAGAAGAGGATGCTGCAGGGGAAACTGAGGCACAGCGGGCACAGGGCTTGCAGAAAGCTTCACGGGGAGGTAGACCTCATCTCCTGCTCCCTGCCACACTGCCCTGCCAGACCTCCTGGGGGGGGACACCATCGATCTCACCTCTTCCGTGGGTGAAAACCTGACTGCCACGTTGCATCGCTCTCCTGGAGCGAGGGCTCCAGATGCGGGCAGCACCTCGAAGACACAGGGCTTGGCCTTCAACTCCTGGAGCAGCTTCCGACGCACGTTTGCTGGCAGATGTTTGTCCACCTGAGCACAAAACACAATTGCATGAGGTTTCCTTGGTCTGTGAGACCAGACCCTCGGTTCCTGTCATGCTCTGAGATACTATCACAGCGTAGAGAACACCCACACCAAACCAGCCACGACCTCCACTGGCCTAGAACTGGAAGGAAATCATGCAGAAAGGGCAGGCAGATAGGGAAGCACTGTCCTCAGAAGAGGTGGTGGGTGGGAAGCTCAATGGGAGACTGCAACGTGTAGTGGCAGCCCAGAAAGCCCCCTGTGCCCTGGGCTGCATCCCCAGCCCCGTGGCGTGAGACTGCAATGTGTAGTGGCAGCCCAGAAAGTCCCCCGCACCCTGGGCTGCATCCCCAGCCCCGTGGCCAGCAGGGAGAGGGATGGATGGGGGGGATTCTGCCCCTCTGCTCCGCTCTGGGGAGACCCGCCTGCAGGGCTGCCTCCAGCTCTGGGGCCACCAACAGCAGAAGGACATGGAGCTGTTGGAGCGGGGCCAGAGGAGGCCCCGGAGATGCTGGGAGGGCTGGAGCCCCTCTGCTGGGAGGGGGGGCTGAGAGAGTTGGGGGGTTCAGCCTGGAGAAGAGAAGGCTCCAGGGAGACCTTCCAGCCCCTTCCAGTCCCTCAAGGGGCTCCAGGAAAGCTGGGGAGGGACTCTGGATCAGGGAGGGGAGCCCCAGGAGGAGGGGGAAGGGTTTGACCCTGCAAGAGGGGAGATGGAGCTGAGATGTGGGGAAGAACTTGTTTGGTGGGAGGGTGGTGAGAGCCTGGCCCAGGTTGGCCAGAGAAGCTGTGGCTGCCCGATCCCTGGAGGGGTTCAAGGGCAGGTTGGAGGGGGCTTGGAGCAACCTGGGGTGGTGGGAGGTGTCCCTGCCCAGGGCAGGGGGTGGCACTGGGTGGTCTTCAACGTCCCTTCCAACCCAAACCATTCTGTGAGTCTATAAGAGCAGAAATGGGTGAAGGTGGCAGAGAAGCGAAGCCACCACAGGAAGGGGTGAAGGTGGCAGAGAAGCGAAGCCACCAGACACCTTTCTGGACATGGCAAGGAACAGTCATAGAATGGTTAGAGTTGGAAGGGATCTCACCTGATGAACAGGTTCAGGTGAACCAGTCTTGCTCTGTACCCTCAAGAGCTTCCTCAGACAAGCTGTAGGCCAAGTGCTCAAGCAGCCACAGGGGCAGAAAAGGTGAGAAAGGCAAAGGAAACCCAACCAAGAAGTTACGTGTTACACGTGGTCTGGGCTTTACCTTCTTTACAGGCTCAATCACAGTGATGAACCATTTACAGGGGTGCTGGAGCTGATTATGGAGTCGGATGGTTTCTTCTTGGCACTGCCCACACTGGACAGCGGAGAACTCCAGCCTGTCCCTGGAGAGGCAGAGGGATGTCATGGCCACAGTGGCACGGAGGCGGAGGTGAAACGTGGGGCCTCCTGCTACCTAGGGAAGGACAGAGCATCCAGCTGAGAGTCCAAGTGATACCTACTGCTGTCCCCAACCTGCCCCAGAAGGTGGTGCGGGCAGAGGGAGGTGAGGAAGCACGTGGTACCTTGATGGGCAGGAGCCTGTCCACCTCTCCCAGGGGCAGGTTGGCGCTCTGTGGGTCAAAGTGCACTTCGAAGGTCTCTGTCTCACAGTAGGGCAGGTGCTTCACACGGTCCAGCTTCACGCAGAAACCTGGAACAAATGGAAATAAAGCAGCTGAGACACACAAGCGTGTGAAATGTGACACGGGCACATTAAGGTCACACAGGTGCCCTGGGTGGCAGCTCTGTGAAGGAGCCCTTTGCATCTCCGCAGAAGCCTGTTGCTTCTTCTTCCTTGTCAAGGAGAAAGGGTTTTCACAGCCCGAATCCAACGCCCACACGGTAAAAAGGAAGCATCAGTTGAAGAGCACCAGCAATGTCTTCATCAGGCAGCCCAGGGAAGGATGCACAAACCTCTCCAAAGAAGAATTTGCAACTGAGATTCCCCCACGCCATGGTGTTCCCTGGGAAAAACCTCGAGGAGACACCTGACCACCCCTCAGACACAGCGAGTCACCGTTTGATGGTACTGCAGCCTCAACTCAAGATGTGTTTGGGAAGCCTGTTTTGATACCCCAGAAGACCTCACAAGCTGTTTTCTCAATAAAGGCTGAACGGAAGCACTAGGACATTACAAACTTTAAACAAAGCACTTCCCAAACCACAAAGGGCCCATCTGTTTGCAACACAAGCCCACAGAGGGCACAAAGAAACACAGATGATGCTCACGGTTGCCAAGAGCAGAAGATGCTGAGAGGTGACCAACTTCCCCACATCCAGTGGCTTAAGCTAAGCTGGCAGAGCTCCTTCAAGGCCACGTGAAGTCTCTCCAGCACTGGTTACCTGTGTCACGCAGGACCTGTGCAGCAGTGTGGAAGGACACAGGGAACTGCCCGGTGTTGGTGATCTTCACAATGTGTGTGTGGACGTCACCGAGAACGACGTAGCCAAAGTCCAGGACGTACTCAGGCAGCTCAGCTCTGAAAGGAGGAGAAAGGACATCCTTTAAATCACAGCCTGGCTGCATCTCCAGGTGGACTGAAAATGCAAATAAAGTGGATATTTCTGTATTAACTGTATTTCTCTATTAACTATTTCTGTATTAACTAAAACTCAACTCAAGCCCATGAAACCCAAGGCCTGACCACCTGGTAATATGACTTTGCGAAGTTCATCAGCCTGACCAGGGATGGTGTCTGTGCTGTCTGGAAGGTCATGATAGTCTGCACTGGACCCCCTCAGCTCTAAGAACAGAACCCAGCATCTGTGGGGAGCTGAGCAGCCCCAAAGCTCAGGGTGGCACTGTGGAAGGGAGGACACTCAGCTGCTCATAGGGAGCACGTCAAAGCTGTCAGGATCATAGAATCATTACGTTTGGAAGAGATCTTTAAGATTATCAAAAGTCCAACCATTAACCCTGCACTACCAAATTACCACTAACCCATGTCCCTCAGCACCACGTCTGCCTGGCTTCTAAACAACCCAAGGGATGGTGACTCCACCGCTCCCTGGGCAGCCTCTTTCAAGGCTTGAAAATCTTTTTGGTGAAGAAATTTTCCCCAATATCCATCCTAAACCTCCTGGAGCAACTTGAGGCCATTTCCTCTTGTCCCATTGCCTGGGACTTGGGAGAAGAGACCGACCTCCCCCTGGCTACACCCTCCTTTCAGGGAGTTGGAGAGAGCGAGAAGGTCTCCCCTCAGCCTCCTTTTCTCCAGGCTGAACACCCCCAGCTCCCTCAGCCTCTCCTCACCAGACTTGTGCTCCAGACCCCTCACCAGCTCCGTTGCCCTTCTCTGGACCCGCTCCAGCCCCTCAAGGTCTTTCCTGTCGTGAGGGTCCCAAAACTGGACCCAGCACTTGAGGTGGGGCCTCACCAGTGCCCAGTACAGGGGGATGGTCACTGCCCCAGTCCTGCTGGCCACGCTGTTCCTGACACAGCCCAAGGATGTTGTTGGTTTCCTTGGCCACCTGGGCACGCTGCTGGCTCATATTCAGCTGGTCACTAACCAACACCCTCAGGTCCTTTTCCCAGGACAGCTCCAGCCACTCTGCCCCAGCCTGGAGCGTCCATGGGGTTGGTGTGACCCAAGTGCAGGACCCAGCACTTGGGGCCATGTTGAACCTCACACCATTGGCCTCGCCCCATCCATCCAGCCTGTCCAGATCCCTCTGTAGAGCCTTCCTGCCCTCAAGGAGATCCACACTCCTGCCCAACTTGGTGGTGTCTGTGAACTTTCTGAGGGTGCAAGGCCCTTCAGACCCTTTCTGAAGTCCTCAGCAATTCCCAGCTCAGCAGACACAAGGAGCTCTCAGGAACAGGGGAGCACTGCTGGGTGTTACCCTCGGGGCACCTGGAGATAGGGTAGGGGTGTCCCCACTAACTTGGGAAGCCTCTGACGAGAACGCTGGTCAAAGACAGTGCCCTTTGGGGAACCGGAGGCGAGAGCTTTCTGCAGCTCCAAGGCATGTTCCTCTATCAGCACCTGCTCCATCTGCATCTGCAGCCGAGTGTCCAGCTAAGGAAAAGAAAGACAGAGGCTGGTTTGCAAAAGTCCTTTCCCAAGGGGAAAGATCCCTCTTGAAAGAGGATCCCACCGTGTTCTTGTTGAGAGGGGTGATGGGGTCCTCCTGCCTCACTGCTCAGTGTCTGTGACACCTCCTGCTCTCTTAGCCAGGACCTTATCCCGAGGGAAATGAACTCCAGCATCTTTGCCTGCCCAGTCACTGTTACTAAAGCTGATCTGGCCAGACAGACAGACAGATGGACGAGCTAGAAACCTTCCAGAGCTCCAAGTATTTGGCTGAGTCCCGCTAGCGCCAAAGCAGCTGGGACAAAAGCCCTCCTAAAAAGGGAACTGTGATGAAGCTGGTGCCTCTTGGAGACCAACGCTGACAGCAGAGTCCCAGGCATGGCCAGGCTGGTCCTATTAAGCTCTGTAAACCTGGCAGGGCTCGGGCTGTGGGCAACAAACACCCCAGTGATGACCTGCAGCTCCTTCAAAGTACCATAAATTCAAATGCTGGAGCATGGACACCAGGACCTCTCCCTGGGATAGTGAGGAGGCTTGTGTGTCTGCCAGAGGGACAACTACCAGAGGTGGGCAGCCCCCAGGGCAATGCTGAGCTGGTGCAGCATCGTGGCCAGGTGTGTTCAGGGAGGTCCCAAGTGCCAGCAGGGCACCAGGAAACCAGCTGCAGGGTGCAAGGGGACAAAATGACACAGGGGGAGGTTGGGACATGCCCAACAAGGTGGCAGCAGTTCTCACCACAGCGTCCAAGTCATCTGTGGGTGGCTCTGCGGCCGCAGCCTCCCCCAGAGCAACTGCTTCATCTCTCTGGCTGTCTTTTTCCATCTTTTCTTTCACCTCCTTGAGCACCCTCTCGTATTTTTCATTTCCTGAAGGAAGAAAACATCCACAGACCGTTGCTTTTCCTCTATGAAGCCTGATGTTCCCTCCCACCCATCCTCCTCCCCATGTAGGAACATCTCCCCCCCTGCGACATGATGCAAATCCAACCCTGCCAGCTTCTATTAGGGCTTCCCCCAGTGTTTAATGTCTAACCATCATCTTCCCCGGGATCTGACGGATTTGCTGGTGAGCTCTGCAGGATGGGTCCTGGAGCAAAAAGCCCCCATGGGCTTCCAGAGCCTCGGGAAGCAACCAGAGGGCTGAGCGTTGGTCTGACAGCCCTTAAACCTCCAGGCTTGGTGGAGGTGAGTGTGAACTGCCCTATGGGCATATGACATGGGGGGAAGACACCAGAGGACCTTCCTGGGGTGCAGACAGGCAGCGCTCACCTTTGATGTTCCTGGGCAGGTCCAAGCAGATCCTGGGAAAGGTTCCCTCTCCTTTCAGGGAAATTTCTTCTGGTGGCAGGTGACCCACTTGGATCTGGAAAGTCCTGCAGAAGATTCCAGGCACTCCTGGCAGGTAATAGACTTTTAGCACTTGCTCCTTTCCAGGTCCGATGAAACCCTGCAGGGCACAGGAGAAGAGGGAGGGAATGCACCACAGAGGGTTTGGTGGAGGCATGGCTCAGACGACAGACACGCTGAGAAAAGAAGGCAGGTTCTCATATATAAGAACATATCAGATGACATCGCTTTCTGGTATCTAAAAGCTGAAGTGTCCTACTCCAGGATGCAGTATGTCCTTCAGAGGACTCATAGGGATGGGTTCCCACAGGACAGACCTACAGACTGCCCTTTGCTCAGCTCTTCTGCTAACAGTGTCCACCCTCAGCCAGCAAGAGTCAGGTAAATAAATAAAAGCTCTTTCACCAGCTGCTGTGGAAGGGGAGTGAAGTGCCCACACTCCCAGTGGGGCCAGCAGCTCCTCTCACTGCACCTCAGTGGTTCCCAGGCTGGTGTCCAGGGCTCTGACCCCTTATTAACACCCCCAAGCCAACATCTCCTGCCTGTGGGGTTACACCAAGGTGCACTGTCCAGGCCCACGGTGACCTGCAAACATACATCTCTGGAGACATGGGAACAGAGATTGGGATGAGATCTAGGGAAGAAGGTATTGCCAGGAAGGACACCTCCTCTCCAGGCTTCCAGAAGGGCTGTCCCAGCCCCGGGCTGCTGTCCACCAGGACTCCCAGGTCTTTCTCCTCAGAGCTGCTCTCCAGCAGGTCACCCCCAACCTGTCCTGGTGCAGGGGGTTATTCCTCCCCAGGTGCAGCACCCTGCACTTGCCTCTGCTGAAGTTCATCAGGTTCCTCTCTGCCCAACTGTCCAGCCTGTCCAGGTCTCACTGGATGGTGGCACAGCCTTCTGGGGTGTCAGCCACCCTTCCCAGTTTTGTGTCATCAGCAAATTTGCTGAGGGTACACTCCATCCGCTCATCCAGGTCATTGATGAATAGAAGAGCCACCCACCAGCAAAGGCCATTAAGGGAATTCATTAGGAATGCATTTGCTTGACCCTCTCTGCCCCCAGCAGCAATTCCTTACAGCCCTGTTTCTCCTGCCTGCCTTTTTTTTCCCCTTTTTCGTTTTTTTGCCATTTTTTCTCCTACAGCCCCCATCCTGGGCAGCCTGATGCAGGTCCAAGGCCAGGACCATTTGTGGTCAATCAGCCCACGCTACTCACCATGGTGGGCACGACCAGGGGCACGCCGGGCAGAGGGTTCTCTGCGGTGGCCGTGCTGGGGTTTTGCACCAGGTAGGTGAATCCCACCTTCCCACTGTTCCTCAGGGCAACCTCCACTTGGGTGACTTCGTTAAACAGCTGGAGAGAGGAGAGAGGGGCAGGGAGTTACAAGGCACAGGTCTCCTTGCTGGGCATCTCCTGGGTTTTTTTTTCATCGGGTTGAAAGCAAATGAAGACAAAGCAGAAGCAGGGACTTCAAGAGATGGGCACTCAACTCTCCTGGATTGACCCATGGCCACCAGGTACCTCTTAGCCCTGCACAGGAATGGATATTTATGGCAGCACAAAGAGGTGCAACAACCAACGTGTCAAAACCAGCAATGGATAAACCAGGGGACACAAGTCCCCTGCACCTTAAGGTGCCACAGGAGCAGCTGAAACAAAGGAGGAGGCATTTCAGAAGAAAAGGGACCCGCGCGCAAGTGTTTGAAAGCAAAATACCAGCAAAATGGGAGAAAGCCAGTGCAATACGTCCAGGGACAACAGCTGGAAACATCTGTGGGGTTTTTAACTAAAAAGAAGTCAAGTGAGGATTATTCTGGGACATTCTCCCCAGATACAGTGACTGGAAGCCCAAGGTAACTTCCTCCCTGGCTTATTTTGTTGATTTATCCAGAGTGTTAAAAGAGAGCAGCTCCTTGGGCCTCAGGCTGTCGAAACGGACCAGCAATGGACGTCTCTTGGACACGTCCCTTTGGAGATCACTGCTGGCATCCTGCCTGCCCCAGGAGGCAGCATTAGCAACCTTGAGAGGAGGAACTGCCAGCTTTGTTGGTGGGGTGGAAACGGCCATCAAAAACCACCTTGGACGCAGGACACATCACACAAAGGTTGTACTTCCAAGCCTTAGAGCCAACAAAGGAGCTGGGAAGTGGGGAGAGTCCTTGGCCTTGGTGGGCAGGAACCCCCAAGTGATGGTTTCAAGACAAGGACCTTTGCCAAGAGGTACCTGCAGCCCGCAGTCGATCTCCGTGCTGTCTAGGAGGTAGTTAATGAGCGAAGCCTCCCCACTGAGCATGACCTCGTAGGTCGGGCCTCCCTCCACCCTGCACAGCGCCTTGACATGGGCGACGATGTTTGAGTGGCCAAAGAAGGTCAAGGTGACTCGCTGGCTCTCACCCGGCTGCAGCAGGCCATACAGCGGCAAGATGTCGAAAACCTGGAGGAGAAATTAAGATGTCGAGCATTGAAATCCATGCAGAAGAGCAATCCATGGCTTAGAGCAAAGGATAGACATGGCTGGATAGGCCTTCTCCTCAAACGCAGGCAAAATCATCCTAAGAAGCTGTGGTTGCCCCATCCCTGAAGGGGTTCAAGGGCAGGTTGGAGGGGGCTTGGAGCAACCTGGTGTGGTGGGAGTGTTCCTGCCCAGGGCAGGGGGTGGCACTGGGTGGGCTTTAAGGTCCCTTCCAACCCAAACCATTCTGTGACTCTATGATACATCACCCTGCATCTATTCCATTTACCAGTGGAGGTACCATGGAAAAAATCTTCTTCTATACTTGCTAATTAATGCATTAATTAATACGCTACATTAAGTAATACGTGAAGGCTCCCAGAAGCAAGAAATCATCTCTGCTGCAGAACTTGCCTTTAAAAAACACTTTTAACTGCCTTCAGAATAACACAAGCCTGGGAGGTGAGAGCTCTGGGAGCTGGGGGACGACTCCAGCCCAGCCCATCTCACTCCTCACGCTTCTCCCTCTCTCCCCGATTCTCACGCTGCTCTCTCTCAACACCCTACAGCAAAATCTGCTGCAGAAATTTCCTAGTGACCTTGGATCATGCCCTCCACAGGTGCTGCACAGGTAGTGTCCTTGGGTCAGCCCTATGACATGTCCCACATGGCCTCTCTGATGACCAGTGCCACGTGATGTGCACCAGTACAGGCTGGGGAGACCTGTTGTACAGGTTGGGGAGACCAGAGCTGCTCTACCTGCTGGAGAGCAGCTCTGAGGAGAAAGACCTGGGAGTCCTGGTGGACAACAGGATGCCCATGAGCCAGCAATGGGCCCTTGTGGCCAAGGAGGCCAATGGCAACCTGGGAGTCATCAGGAAGAGTGTGAGCAGCAGGTGAAGGGAGGTCATCCTGCCCCTCTGCTCTGCCCTGGGGAGGCCCCAGCTGGAGCACTGGGACCAGTTCTGGGCTCCCCAGTTCCAGAAGGACAGGGAACTGCTGGAGAAGAGACAGCAGAGGGCTACAGAGATGATGAGGGGCCTGGAGCATCTCCCTCCCGAGGAGAGGCTGAGGGACTTGGGTCTTTTTAGCCTGGAGAAGAGAAGGCTGAGGGGGGATCTGATCAATGATTATAAATACTTAGAGGGAGGGTGCCAGGAGGATGGGGCCGGTCTTTTTTCAGTGGTGCCCAGGGACAGGACAAGAGGAAATGGGCACAAACTTGAATGTAAGAAGTTCCACCTCAACGTGAGGAGGAAGTTCTTTGCTGTGAGGGTGGCAGAGCCCTGGAAGAAGCTGCCCAGGGAGGTGGTGGAGTCTCCTTCTCTGGAGACATTCCAACCCACCTGGACACGTTCCTGTGCAACCTGCTCTGGGTGGCCCTGCTTTGGCAGGGGGTTGGAGGAGATGATCTCCAGAGGTCCCTTCCAACCCCATGTAATTCTGGGATTCTGTGAAGGGTGTGAAGCTGCTCCGTGAGCAGCGTTGAGGGCCACAGAACTGCTTGCCATGCTGGAAATGCAGAGATAAGACCGATTCCCACTTACCTCCTCCACTCCCAAGGCGAGGGGCTCTGACTCCACGAACTGCATCAGTTCCTCAATCATCACCAGGCTGTGAGTGTCCGCAGCATCTTCCAGCTCTGCAGCAGTGGATGGTAGTGGCTGAAAAACAAGCACCATGGGCTGCAGTAAGCAGTTGGCTGGTCTGGGTGAGACCACTTTGCTGCAGGCTCCACCACCTCAAGCCAGATGTAGCTGAGATGGGACCCACGTGCACATAAAGCATAGGTATGTCCATGCCATCAGTTGAGTGTGGGTCCAAGCCCACCCGCAGATGAGACACGGGCTCCATCTGCGCTTCCTACACTCATGAGGAAGCTGGATGAACACAGCACTCAGTCCTGGCAGAGATCTCAAGGGCGTTCTGCTTGCTCCTGCCCAATGAACATGCTGAGAATCCCCTGCCTGGACAGGTTGGGTTCTCCGTCACATAAATAAGAACACAGCTGCCAGTGAGGAGTAGCAAAAACAGGAAAATAAGGACTTAAATAGTGCTTGGCTCAGCTATCCAATTTTATCTCGTGCACTCTTGTGGGCTGGAGAGCTGAGGATCTCTGCCGAGGCATTCTCTCTAGTGGCACCTTCCTGAAGAAGGCAGCTGAGATGCTTTCCTGTCTTGCAGCACCTGAGAGCTGGTGTTTAACCTCAGAGGTGCCATCTTTCAAAAGGAACCCCATTCCTGGGCTTCTGATCGTGATTTATAAATGAGGGCTTTGTGATTACTCTTGAAGGTTAAGAGCACCCACTTCTTCACTGGTGTGAAGAAGTGTTTTGTGTTGTGGTCTTGACTTCAGCAAGGATATTTATGGGACATCTTCATACCTAATCAAGAGGTTAGATCTCCCTGGGATGGGGAGGGTAGAGTCTTCTCCTGTTTGGATGCTCTTTCTGTTGTCTCCATGTTTTCAGACCCAGCAAAGCTTTGCCAGGCACATATTCCCAAAGATCCTATCCCTACCTTTCCTAGGCCTGCGGTCTCCCACCTCCCCAGGAAGGTCATATGGATATTGCCTCCATACAGTGACACAAGCAGAAGATGAAACTGCAATCCAGATGCATCCTTTGAAGCAATTTTGGATCCTACTTAGCCACGTCCACTTGCACTTCCCTGGTTTACTTGTCCAAAGGTGGCAAGAAAGCAGGAAATAAAGATGATTCCATGCTTCTATCTGAAAACATTCAGCCCGCTATTCTTTACGTCTATGAGGTATCATTTCTCCTGATTCAGAAAAAAACCTGCAGTGATAACATTAAAAGTCTCGATATTTGGATGAGAGCAGGTGCAAGCCCTCTCCTTGAAGTTAAGGCCAACACTGGCACCTTCAGAACCTCTCGTGTTCTTTTCCATCCTGTTTTTATCAACTAGTATGAAGGTCAAGTTCCAAAGCAGTGAGGTTCACCAGGAAGGTCCACAGATGAGAAGCTGTTTTCAAAGCCAGGAGGAAGAGAGAGTGACTTTCTCTGCACAGCCTTGTTTTATAAAAAAAGATGTCTCTGTGGCTGTCACTGCAATACCAGGTCTCAGCACAGGAAGGACATGGACCATTGGAGCAGGGCCAGGGGAGGCCACAGAGATGCTGGGAGGGCTGGAGCCCCTCTGCTGGGAGGGGGGGCTGAGAGAGTTGGAGCCTGGAGAAGAGAAGGCTCCAGAGAGACCTTGGAGCCCCTTCCAGTCCCTCAAGGGGCTCTAGGAAAGCTGGGGAGGGACTCTGGATCAGGGAGGGGAGCCTTAGGAGGAGGGGGAAGGGTTTGACACAGAAAGAGGGGAGATGGAGCTGAGCTGTGGGGAAGAACTTGTTTGGTGGGAGGGTGGTGAGAGCCTGGCCCAGGTTGCCCAGAGAAGCTGTGGCTGCCCCATCCCTGGAGGGGTTCAAGGGCAGGTTGGAGGGGGCTTGGAGCAACCTGGTGTGGTGGGAGGTGTCCCTGCCCAGGGCAGAGGGTGGGAATGGGTGGCCTTTAAGGTCCCTTCCAACCCAAACCATTCTATGATTCTTGGGGGAAGATAGAAGCATGAAGACAGGTGGCTCTGGCTGGGGCTGAGAAGGTGGTTACATGGAGATGAGTATTTGATGGGCTTAATACAGGAAGGAAACTGGAAGCCTTCACACCATGATGCAGATAAATTCCTTATTTGATGTAAAAAAAACCCAAAATCAAAAGAAACCCCCAAAATCCCAAACCCAACGTAGATCAGGAGAATTGAGTGGGCTTCTCCAAGCAGAAATACCCTATTTCTCCCTCCCTGTGTCCAGCCACCGGCCCTGCTTCCCAGCCTGCTCTCAGGGCAGCAGAAAGGGAGGCTGGCAAGAGCCTGGTGTTTTGGTGGCAAGCTGGGGAAGGCAACACAAGTGGTAGGTGTAGGAGAAAATCTACCTTTGCTTCCAGGGAGTCATCTGAGTCTGGTGCCTCTTGAGCAGGATCCCCCACTGTTTCCAGGGCTTCATCTGGCTCCTCTGCAGCCCCATCCCCGACCCCCCTCTCTGCAGACACCGAGTGCTCCGACTGGGCTCCCTCCTCCTTTGCTGGTTGGGGTTCGACGAAAAATTTAGGTACTGGAGGGCTGAACCTGGAAAAGAACATAAGTTTGGCCACAGACCTGCAGTTGGAGAAAGGGAAGCCTGGATGAGCAGCTGCTGGGCAGAACGTGGCCCCTGGGTGGGTGCTGGTGGTGTGAGCTCAGTGATGGGGGAGCTACAGGAGAGGTGGGGAAGGACTCTGGATCAGGGAGGGGAGCCACAGGAGGAGGGGGAAGGGTTGGACACCAAAAGAGGGGAGATGGAACTGAGATGTGGGGAAGAACTTGTTTGGTGGGAGGGTGGTGAGAGCCTGGCCCAGGTTGGCCAGAGAAGCTGTGGCTGCCCCATCCCTGGAGGGGTTCAAGGGCAGGTTGGAGGGGGCTTGGAGCAACCTGGTGTGGTGGGAGGTGTCCCTGCCCAGGGCAGAGGGTGGGACTGGATGGTCTTCAAGGTCCCTTCCAACCCAAACCATTCTATGGGTCTCAACCAGCAGCTCTGAAACCAGGATGGAGCTGAGGGTCCCTTGTGGCTGCCCAGGGACAACGCTGCTGGTAGGAGAGTGGTGCTGGCAACTGGGTGGAAGGAGAAATGGGAGAGGAGAGAGACAAAAAGCACAGTGGGAAAGGAAAAGACAAACTGTGAGAAAGAATGATGCCCATCTGTGAAGGAGCAGATGCGAAGAGCGATGAGCTGGTACAGACCCACCAGCGTTCTCCTGGAAGCACCCAGCCCCCAGGAACGCGTCCTCCCCACCCTGAGAAGCGACGGCCAATGCAAGAAGTTTTGCAGCTCTACTAGATAATTGTCCCAAATATTACCAGCAGGCCTAGGTCAGAACAAGCAAGTGGAGATACTGGTGGCTTTCTCCGAGCGTGATGAGGCAGGAGCAGGGCTGGAGCCTAAAGATGGCTGTGCCCTGAGATACCCAGAGGCACCGACAAAGCCCATGGTGGGATCTCCTCACACGCACAACGATGTGGAAAGACACCTCCAACAATTCCAGGCAGAGACTCACAATTAAACATCCCATGGATCCCCGATGAGCACCGAATCAGCAGCCACAAGGGCTTTGGGGAAGGAAATTTGAGTCATTTTTAATCCATAAACCACAAACGCCGAGGAGGAGATGCTGCTCCCCGGTCCCAAAGCTCCAGCTCCAACCTCACCTCGTGCTAGAAGGGCAGCAGCTCTGCTGAAAGAAGGTTGTAACCAGTGGGGTGGTCACCTCCGCAGCAGTTTCTAAACCCAAACTGTTTGAGGAACAATTTGGCAAACGATTCCAGCAAAGCAATTTAACAGCTCGTTTTATGAACGGAGCTGAGTTCATAGTTTGACCAACGTCTGGCAGTGAAAAGTATATGGTTTAATGTCTTCCATCGTTCCCAGGTGACTCAGATCACACTCCCTGTTTTAAACCACAGCAGATGCCCACCATAACTGGGCTCATAACTGGGCTCATATTTCTGATCCCACCTGGAGGGGCACACTCCAGCCGTGCCTGCCTGTCACCGTCCCCAACTTCCAAGTGTCCCCCACAGGCAAAGGAGGCAGATCTTCACAGCCACCTGGATGCTTCATTTCCAGCTGGGAATTCGGTGCCTTCAATGATGTGCTCCCAAATGGATATCTGTCTTCAGCTTTGCTGCTTGTTATCTAAGGCTGGTTTTAATTTCTGGATTAGAGGCTTCATAACCTCCAAGAGATCCCGCCTGACTTGTCCTCCCTACAACCACCCGCAAGAACAAGGCTTGGCCCAGCTGAGCTCCTCTGCAGCCCCATCTCCGGATGCTGCTGGGACCCCATGGGTGACCCCCAGCAAGACCCCAGGACTGTCCTCATGGAAGAACAAACCAGGACTGGAGGGGACAAAGGTGTTCGCTGGTCCCTGGAGAGCATCGCCCATCTCCAGTCCCATCTGTGCCACCTTCTCCCCTCTCAGCTGAAGAACCTCAAGACGTGTTGGCATCTACCTGAGGTTGAAATAAATTCATCCCAGCTGCGACAACGGTGCCCCTGGGCTGAGTGCTACCTCTCCCTGGTGACAAGGGCCATGCCTGCAGCGCAGGGGGACAAACACCCAGGGCCAGGAGCACCCCCGAAGCCCTCCAGCAGCGCACCAGTCTGCAAACCAGTTCAGCCCATGAGTCTGGCCATCATGGCAGCAGCTGCAATCCATCCTAGCGAGGAAATGAAATCGCAGCTCTCCGAGCTGCTCGGGATAAATACTGCGGGTTAATAACAGCTCCTGAAGGAGAGGTAAACCCCCGAGATGGAAAAATCCATAATCATTTATTAAATTACCTTTAGCTTTATAGAATGGTTGGAGGCAACTTCACGGGACGGCGGTGCCAAGACAACAACAATATTTTTCACTCTGAAACAGAAGCCCTCTGGGACCCGGCGCTGGGAGATGATGTGATTAGCGAGTCCTGCTGTAGAGAAGCACCGAGCACAGCCAGGAACTTCTTCCAGAGGGGGGAAAGTCAAAATGAATAACCTGAAGCATGACGTGAAAAGGAACAGGGTGAGGAACCCAAGGTGCCCATAGAAAGCTGACCCCTGGGACAAGCAATCTTCCTGGGGTTGAAGAAAAGGGGGTTGTCTTTGAAAAGGAGAAGGAAGGGGAAGGAACAAGATGTTCAGCATCAGCCCAGGCTTCAGGCAGCTCTTTCCCTGATGTGAATTGGGGCTTTCTGGGGATCCTCCAGCACTTTTAGGCCAAGGCTGTGTACACAGGGAGGAAGGCAAGGAGCAGAAAGCAGCTCCTCCACCTGCAGAGAGGATCCATCCCAAACCAGAATGGCCAAAGGACTGTGGAATTGCCTCCACCAGCACTGTGGAGCTGAGATAAGGAGCCCTCCAAAGTAAGCAGGTCCGCCTGGAGGTGGAAGGGACAAAAGCAAGGTGTTAACCCCCTCTGGGGGTATCTCACCCAACACGGCCACCCCTCAGATGAGAGAAATGTCATCCAGGAACCAACAGTGGGGATTTAATGGCAGTGTGGGCGGATTGGCAGCAGTGAGAGAGAAGTCCTTCCTTCTAGGGCCAGGACAACCTTGTGTCACCCACTGTCCCCAACCTCTGAGACATTAGGAAAAAAAAAAAAAAAAAAATTTAAAAATAAACAAAGCCACGCTTGTAGCTGTTCGTGCCTCTTAAGAAAAAAAAAAAAAAAAAAATTTATATATATATATATCTCAGCCTGTCTCCTGGTTTCTGAGCCTGCCAGGGCCACAGCTTCACACCGCTTCCCACACCCGCCTCCCAAAATAGAGGAGCTAGAAATCACACCGCTTCTGCAAGCGACGTGTGAAGATTCACGCGGGATGACGTGACCCTCCCTCCAGCTCAGGCTGTGCCAGAGCCGGCAGCAGCAGGACGGTCACCCCAAAACCATAAGGGGGGGAACACCCGAGGTGCCTGAAGCCCCTGCCAGCACCAGGGACACGTGCCAGAAGCCACCACCCCGTGGTATCCACATGGAGCATCCTTGCCTGACCCTGCACCCGGTGAAAAACAAGCCTCCCAACAAAGCACCAGCTCTTTTCAGGTTCTCCCAGGGCTGAGCACTGGAGACCACATGCCCATGAGGCATCTAAACAGGCTTACGGGCCCTACGATGCCTTTTAATTTCCCCTTCAGGCCACCAGATGCGTATTAAAAAGGCACTTTGGAGCAAGCCACAGACAGCTCAAGGGTGTTTGCAATAACACAAAACAAGAATAAACCAAGAACCTTCCCAGTGCGCCGTGTGGGAACACTGGGCTGGAGCTGGGCCACCTGGCCACCAGCTAAGGAAGGTGGTGGTGATGGTTCACCCTCATCGACAGTGACTGTTAAACTGCATTTTGTCCAAATGGCCCCAAAGCCTATTTCTTTCCTAGAACAAATTCCTCCTCTAATCCAAGGTTCCTGTATTTACTGAACCACCCGTTGCAATTCGCACCAGGCAGAGGAGAGACAGAGAAGAGAAGCAGCTTTTAGAGAGATGAGGGAGAATTTGGATTTCTTGTTTGCGTAGGGATGGACGTGGGGATGTTACTACTGAAAAGAAGTGAAGACAAGTTACAGCCCTGGAAGAAGCCTCTGCTGGCTTTACTGGAGTTTTTCTGACTTGCACTGATTTTACAGACCACAAAATGTGGTCTTTTCGCCCGTCAGCCAGGTGATTTACAAGCATCGGGTGAGGCTGTAGGAAGTTCCTGGTTCTCCATCAGACAGAAAAATACTTCTCAATCAGACTCTGGCCAAAGGTCCCTCTGAGCAAATCAGTAGCTCTAACGATAAATACGATTTGTAGTCTTTGTTCAAAATTAAACAAGCCCTGACAGCTGTAATTTGGAGACGCTGTTTGAAGCAATCAGCATCAATTACAATCTTACCAGCGACTTCAAAAATTGGCTCTGCAAACAGAGGCCTGTCTTGTCTCCCATAAGTGATGGCAAAGGAGGAGAGACGTGCTCCAGCCGTCTTTGCGGCAGGGATCTGGATTCACCACTTTAAGATGTCCTTGTGGGGGCAAGCCTGAGAGCTTGGCGAGCCACCAAGGGTCTGGCTGCAAGGGTTAAAAGCAGGGGGAAGCCAGAGAACTGGTTGAGCATCACCAGCTGAGAGTAGCAGGCTGGTCCTGGTGGGGTTAGACAAGCAGAAGGCTCCCAGCCACAGCAAGAGATATGTTCTTGATCCATCCTCTCCTTAGGGTAAAGGCTGCAGGAGATTAAAGCTGGATCTCAACACATTTGTGAAAGGGATGAAGAGGGGACAGCCTGAGATGGTAGGGAGCAGGCTGGGTAGGCTTGGCAGGCCAGCTTCACCCTCCAAGCACTCAAAAAGCAGCCCAAGCCTCTGCTGAAGCATCCCGGAGGTTGAGGACCAGCGTGTACCTGGGCTCTTCAGCCCACCCCACTGTTCCTCCACGGTGCCAAGAGCAGAACGAGGAAAAGGAGGGAGATGAAATGATGGAGCACATCCTGAAGTCCTCAGAATCACAGAATCCTCATGGTTGGAAGGGACCTTTGAGATCATCAAGTCCAACCACAAAAAAAGAAAG